TTTATTTTTTTATTTTATTTTTTTTTTTCTTTCTGGTTAGTATTATTTTCTCTATTTTTTTTAATCATGTATTCATGTTAAACATCCATTTCTTTTATTCTTTGGTTCATCCGAGTTTCTTTGCTTTACCTTGGTGGATGACTTGGTTCGGGAGTTGGTTGTGCTACCTATTTGTGGCTAAAGATTGGACTAGTTTTACTAAGTTTTGTTAAGCATGTGTATTTTCCTACCATTCATCTTATTTTCTCCTTATCCTTCTAATTTTATTTTATTTCATCCTTTTGTGCTTTCGAGATATGGTTCATTCAATTTATTTTCCCTACTCTGTGAAGTGACTTGGTTTTTACCTAGTCGTGGCTAAGATGTTTGTGCTATTGATTTGTGTCTAAGGGGTTCGACATACAATTAGATTTTGTTGTATATTTACTAATATTCTCTACCAATAACATATTCTTTGCCTTATCCTTTCAACTTTGATCTTTTATTGCATTCTCCTGTGCTCTCAATAGGGTTCATCGGATTTGTTTTCCTTATATTAGGGGCGACCTTGTTTGGGCTTTGATATTTCTTGTTCTACCTATTTGTGGCTAATGGAATTTGGCACTTGATTAGAGTTTGAGGTTTCCCGTGTACTCTAAAGTTTTTTTTCAGAAGTCCTACAATACAACTTCCACTTTTTTTTTTTTTTTTCCTTTGTTCCCTCTCCTATGGTTGCAATATGGAACCTCACATTCTTCTGCCCTACATTGGTTAACAAACAACTTGGTTTAGGTGTTGAATTTGCCTGTGCTGCCTGTTTGTGGCCAAGGGGTTTGTTCTAACTTATTCGATTAGGTTTTGATTTTTCAATGTACCGATAGTTTATCGTCAATGACATGCTTTTATTTGTTAATTGCTTATGTTGTTTGTAATTTCTTTCTGTTTTACAATTATTTGCCGTACATTTATTTAATCTGTGAAAATTGGATGCCTAAGTGCATTATCTGAGCGAGACATAGTGTTTATTAGCGTGGTGTATGTTTGCTGCGTTAATTATTACCGGCCAAACCATGTTGTGCAGTTAGTTTTTTGACAATTGCAGGACTCTTTCACGCTGCGGTTATTGTTTTGATTATAAATTACATCATGTAGTTTCATCGTTTTATTTCTACTGAACTTTTGGATCATCTAAACTGTCAAAGTTTCACTTAATTCTTCTGATGGAAAGTTGCCATCCATCAACTTGGCATTTCATCAGATCTTTCTTGTCTATTTACTAATATTTCACTACTAATGAATCATTTTTTTCCTCTCGACTTTCATCTTTTTTTTCCTATTCTCCTACACTATCAATATATTTCATCCGATTTCTTTGCCCTCTCTTGGGAATGGCATGGTCGCGTTGGTTGCTTTGAATTTTGTTGTACAATTTATTTGTGGCTAAGAAGTTGGATATTCGATTAGGTTCTTTATCATTTATGTCGATGTACTGATATTTTCCTCTAAGGTCCTGTTTTTCTTTATGCTTTTAATTTTGACCTTGTGTACTACTCTCTCGTGCTACCGATATCATCCAATTTCTTGTTGGGCCTAGAATTTGATGGGAAAATTACATACATAAACCCCCTTCCATAGATATTTACATATATACGGCCCCTTCAAACATTAATCAAAATAGGTGTAGGATATGATTTGTTTTTCATATCTACGAGATTAAGATTTATATCACCTCATCCGTTTCTCTCTCTCTCTCCATATATTGTCATGGCAACAAAGAAGCCGAAATCAACGTATTAGAAATAGAAGTTAAAAAAAAAAAGGAAAAGAATGATCACGCCGATTTTGATTCTTGTAATTAAGGTAATCATGATTTCAAATTTCAAAGCGGGATTTACAGTTCAACGAGTTTTTTCAATCCGAAAAAAAAAAACACACCGATAAGTTGGAAAAAAAAGATCGTGTTATTTATGAAAAAATATTGTGAAATAGCCGCTGAGCCAAAAACACACTGATAACCACGAATACATGTTCAGATATACTGTATATATACATCAGATAAACATGATCTGATATTTTTCTAATATTAACCGTATAGTTACGCATAAGATAAACAACATATAAACAAAACTGATAAACAAGATATGATATTTCTGTAATATTAACCGTATAGTTATACATAAAATAAACAACATATAAACAAAACTGAAATTGTATAAAACATAATACATTATAGTTATACATAAGGTAAACAACATTTAAACAACACTAAAACTGTGTAAAACATAACATACATAATTCTGAATGATTACAAAATTCAAATAGAATGTAGTTAAACATTTGATAAACAACATATGTCTATTTATATGACACCAAATTGAACTTAGAATTTATCCATTCAAACATTCAACTTTACATGATGTTACAAAATTCAACCAACAACTTTGAGCACTCCAAAAAACAACACAATCTATAACGTATAATTTGTGTAAACACTCGTGGTGATTGATCCCATCGACGCTTACGTTTTTTTGGGTTAATTTTTGGGTATATAAGAGTCCACGTCACTGTCGTCATTTGATGACCCTCTTCTTCTTGGTGTCGTCAAGCACATTTTTTTTGTTTTCTGAACGATGTTGCGATCCTCGACACGGCGTCGTACGGTAGCACGGAAAAATCTAGGCCCGCCGCTGGAGGCGACGATTGAGCTCTCACGGAGAATAGGGAGTGGTGGTTCTTGAGATGGTTTTGTCGGGGCCCGCGAGTCTGCCGGGAGTTTTCCGAATGAAGGGAAGGGATGTGAAGTGGCAGTCGTTCGATCCGTATGTCCAAGTCTTCTGCTTCATATGGCGGTGGATATCGGCCGGAGATTTGGTTTATGGGAAATAATAAGTTTTGTTAAGGATATGGAGAGAGAATCTCAAATCTTATATTTTTTTGAGCTGACTAGAATATTGGCCTTAATTAAATATAATTGATTTCACTTAATTAGACCATAATTAACCGCCTCACCTATTAATATCACTTTAATTATTAAAGCACGTAATGTTCGTAAAAAATTAGTGTAGTCGTCAATTTGATATTATTTAGCAAACAAATCGTTAAGGGAGTAAGTTTCTCGAATTTGATTGTGTTACCTATTTGTGATTAGGGATTGGTCATTCGATTTGATTTTTAAGTGTTCATATATACCAATATTTTCCTACCATTTATCTCTTTATTTCCTTATTCTCTTAATATTATTGAATTTTGTTCTATTTTCTTGTGCTATCACTACGACCCATCCACTTTCTTTGCCCATGAGGGACGACTTGGTTGAGGCTTTGAATTTGATTGTGTTCTGTATTTGCGGCTGAAGGGGTTGGACATTTGATTATATTTTTCAGTTTTGTCTATTTATTTTCTTAGCAATAATTTACTTTTTCTCATATTTATTGTTCTAAAACAGTTTGCTATCTTTGATTTTTCAATATTACATTCAGTTTTGTGAAGCTTTTGTATCATGTTATTATACCTTTGGACTGTTTACTTGAAGGACAATATGGTGCTCGTTCTTTTCCCATATCCGATTGCTCTTCTAAAGTTGTAGCACACAACAACTCACGAGTTTGTGTAAACTTATATTCTTTCGGGATTTGATTTCAGATGTTGTTGATGAATTTGTGTAAACTTATAGGGTCGTGTGAATGGAAATTGAGACAGTATCATGAGTTTTTTTTTTTTAGTTCTTTGTTGGCTGGTTCATTTTCATCTTCTTTTCAACTATTTTGGTGAATGATGTTGGAGAATGTTGAGCTATGAGCATATGGTATGTGAATTGTATTATTATTACTTTTTGTTTAGGGATTTGATTTTGAAATACAGATAAAATACCTAAAGGTTGTCCAAAAAATAAAACTAAAACATTGTTGTCCTACTGATCAAATCAGAAGTATTTAATTGTTCCAAATTCCTATTCAGACGCTGGTATTTAGAATTGAAGTCGGAGCTCGGTTTACCAGCTTCACCTTCTTACCACTTCCAAATGTCTTTATTCTAAAATGAAATGGCATCATATATGTAATTGTTCTGGAATATATACACCTAGGTATACACCTAACCTAGCTGCATTGAAATTTTTTTTTAAAAAAAGCACATTTGGCCATTAACTATACCAAAATGGCAAAAATCATCTCGGCAAAGAAATCGCAGTCCATCTACAGAGAGGGCAAATGTTTCCTCCTAAAGTAGCAAGCGTGAAACTTATGTCGACACCCTTCCACCATTGCTACCATATCCTTCCCACATACATTGTCTAGACAAATTGCACATATACTTTTCTCATTACCGATAATATTAATTCAAAATTTCTTCCTCTTACCAAGACATCTATTCTAGCAAAGTTGGCATTTGTCAAGGCACATACTGTATAAAGTCGAGGCATCGTATAGTAGGTACTCTACAAAATCGCTTAGGCTGATTTTACTAACTTGCAAATGCTACTATATTTTTTCACAAGGAATCGCGTATACATACAAAAGAGTTTAAAAATGAGACACCGACGTAGCAAACAATCAGCACAGTATCCTAGTCCAGCAAAACAGAAAAACAAAATTTACACAAAATTCACACAGAACACCAATTAATAAGCCATATAATTGAATGCAAATGTACATGACGACTCGAAGCAAACACCGGAAATTTCTGGCCCAGTAGGCAATAATAAACTGATTTTGTGATCATAATATACATTCAAAGCTAGCCATACCTGTGCATAGGAAATTGGTAAACATACTAACAATGTAGGTCGACATCAAGGAGCCTTCATATACAAAGGACATTAAAAAACAAACTCAAAGGATAAACAGGGTTAATGTTAAGATACTACCCAATTGTACGGACCATCACAAAATAAACCAGAATTCCTACACATAATAACAAAAGCTTGGAAACTTGGAAACTGGCAAACCATAAACACAAAGCAAAAATAAACTATAGATATAGATAAAATCAGAAGGCAGCAACCTGCGTGCACATCCTCAAATTCAATGGACCTGCGACTTCATGACCTGCAAAAGAAGCTTTGCCTGTTCAACCTTGACTTCAAAATGCCTCATATAAACCTCCATCTCTTCAATCTCGAGCTTCTTCAATGCTTCTTCATCCTCGATATTATTGATGTCCGCCCCGCTGTCATTGGCTTTTTTGACCCCTTCCTCTTTCTCAGCCCCCTCCTTAATATTATTGGTGTCCGCCCCGCTGCCACTGCCTTTTTCGACCCCTTCTTCTTTCTCATCCCCGCTGCCATCGGCTTTTTCGACCCAGTTGTCTTTCTCAGCCCCCCACACTTTGTTCGACAGATCGTAGGCTTCCTCCTCATGCTGGCTCGCAAAGGTTCTTCCTTTACCTTCCTCCTCCTTACTCTTGTTGTTTGTGTACTTTTTTTTCATCCTAAACATTTTATCCCTCAGCTGCTTCTTCGTCACGTCAATGTGCAATTTTTTCTTGATGAACTCAAAAAATGTGTCAAAATTACCATAGGGGTCGGATTTCTTCTCAGCCCTAAACTGCATAATTCCCTTGAGGACGGCAATCTCGTCCGCGTCGCTCCATATCCTCTGGAACATTTTTTTCTTCTGGGATGCCTCGGGTTCAGCCTTCTTGCTGTTCTTTTGCTTCTTCGTGACAGTAGTCTCTGTCCCCTTTAGCTCCTCGACGGCTCTCTTTTTTGTAGATCTGGCCGGTGAAGCAGAGGCCGCGGCGGCCTTGTCCTTGCCTGTGGCTTTGGTTTGTTTACTGGTCTTTATGTCGGATTCGGATTCGGATTCGGATCCGGATCCAGAATCCTCGTCGGGTTGGGCGGGTTTTGTGGCAGAAGGTGTTTGGGGTTTCCTGGCGGAAGCCGGCGGTGCGGAAGACTTCCGGATCTGTTCGGTCTCAGATTCAGACGAGGAATCGTCGTAAGAAGAGGTTTCAGAGGAGACGGGCTCCCGGGCTTTCGACATTTTCCGGTGAGAAAATTATATATAATATTAGGGTTTCTTCTTTGGAGGGTCGGACTGAGAGTAAGCGAGCGAGGGCTTAGGGTAGGAAGTTAAATAAATGGCTGGCTGGGGAAGATGAATCTGTTGGTTGAATAAATATATCTGGGGAGATGGCGAAATTATGATTCCATTTTTACGCGGCGGCGGCGATTGGCATATTGCAGCGGTGGTGGTCCTGGTGGAGTTACTTTGGGACTTGGGAGAGAAATATGAGAATGCGAATCTGCTAAACCCTAAAATTTATATATAAAAATCGTAATATTATATGTCTATTTTAATAAATAATTTACCATATAAATCTAAATAAGTAGATTACTTTTTTTAATGGTAATTATATCTATCTATCTATACATATATAATAAGGTATTCTATTTACTAAATTTAGTAAGTTCAAAAGTCAACTTAATTAATGCATTGCTATTTCTATCTAATTTTTTTTTAATTATTTTATTTATTTGTCTTATATCTCGTAAAATCAGTTTAAGAAAAAAATCTCATAACATCTAATAAGTAAAAAAAATACGTAAATAAAAAAGGCTTTATTTATTTGACTTATTCCATATTAACATCGATTTCGTCAAAACAACTCCTATAGATCGGTGAAGTCAAAATTTGTACGTAAAATCTATCTATACTAACAAAAAAAGTGGATTCAAAATTCCTTATTTAATTCCTTCTTTTCCTTATCTAATTCCTTCTTATTATCTAATCGTATGGAAATCTGTTCTGATTTTGTTCAATCCTCTAATTGTATTTGTATTATATCCAATAAAATCGGTTTAACAAAAAAACCTCATAACATCCTATAAGTAAAAAAAAGTACGTAAAATCTTTACTAAAATAAAAAAGTTTTATTTATTATCTAATTTATTATCTAATTGTATGGAAATATGTTCTGATTTTATTCAAATCGATTTCTGTATATTCAGATTTTCTAATAAAATATTCACAACAATGTATATCTACTCTACCCATTATAAATTACAAATCTCAAAATATCGAGCCATAATCTTCCTCACTGTCAACCTCATCGAACAAAAAATATTCTCAATCAGTCTTTTTATTCAAAACAATGAATCAATGATTTGGGTTAATCAAACAAGTCAATAGGTCTAATAGACATATGCTCAAAGTTCGAATTGTGAGAATATTTTTCCAAAACTGGGGCAGCACATACAAATCATATCTCGAGTTGGTTCTGCATGATAAAACCGTAAGCCAAATTATTTGATTTTTTTCAAAATGTGAAATGTATATTTTTTTTTTATTTTCGTGTATGTATTTAGATATTTTTGTACATGTTTAGTGAAATATATTTTCGATATTTTTTAATTGTATTTTCAGATTTGCAATTTGGCTTATTTATTCTACAAATCGTGTATGTATTTAGATATTTACATTATTTATATTTGTTTTCGTGTATTGTAAAACTTTTATTGAATATTGCATCTTATAGTATAATAATCCACAAATAAATATATCTCGTGCCTCGCACGTACTATATATATCCCGTACATTTTTCTCTATTCATTTATATAATTATAAGACTGGATAAATGACCTTAAAATTGTGCACCCCGTGCATCTCACAAGCTTTGTACTAATTTGTTCAAAGTCTAATAAAAACAAATAATTTTCATGTAAGCATTATACATAAGAAGATTAATTTTACTATTATTTTTACCACATAAAATTATAATTATTCACAAATAATTAAAATTGTACAAAATTAAATATATATTCATAAAATAACCAAAAAAAAATATTTTACCTGTAAGTTATAATATCTAATTTTATTGTTTATATCATCACAATTATTTGTCATATAAAAGTATATAAAAAAAATATTTTTATTTTGAAAATTCTAATAAAGCACGATTAACCCGCCATAGTCAACAGGGTCAGAGCCGAACTAATGACTAGATTGGACTGGTCCGGTCATTCCAGTTTGAGAAAATCTGTAATACTAACTAACAAAACAATAACATAACTGGGCTAATAAAAAACTATGGGGAATCTATGTCCTTCGACATTAATTTGCAGAGAAGTTCCATTGCCAAAACATTCTAGATGTTGATTATTGTTATTAATTTATTATCACATCAAGTTTTTTTTTTTTTCTCACACACATTATGAAACAATACGGCTACTTATTTCAACTTCAAAAGAAACTGACTTAAACTCACCTACCAGAGCCTAATAAAGTAAGAAAATACTACAGTCCCGTTACGGAACCATTTTCTCGGAGTTTGTAACCGTCAGATCAATTATATAATGATCTAACGGTTACAAACCCCAATAATATACTTAATAGTCATCAAATTTCAAAGTTCACATATATGTAGGTCTAAACTACAGGAAGTCACATAGATCTGCATTTACATTATCTTAGATCACAAGGCCTAGCATCACCAACATAAAAGAAATATTCATAAAGAATATGAATAATTGTTTTTACAATAAAACCTGTAGAAACTATAACCAGCAATAGAGAGTTCACCTTTACTACATGATATCAGCTATTAATATGGACTTCCTTTCACACAAGCACCAATCAATTTCCTCTGTTCTTTCTAAGTTCAGCAAGCCTAGCCACAAAATCATCATAATCCGGCAGCTTGGGATGCACGTGTGCATTATTGTTATCCAACGAGAAAGTCCGGCTGTGTTTCATAGAAGCTTCCTCCGGGGGGTGGTCCAGCAGGGCAGCAGGGAGCGACCCCACCCTGTTTGCTCTGTGCGGTTTTACAGATTTGCCCTTCTCATCCGCTACTGAGGACTGCCCGTTTTTCTTGCTATAGTGCCGCAGAAGCCTGTCCATCATCTTCTCTTCTTCATCCTTGTGCTTCCGGCCATCATTGTCCAAGAACCTCAAGATTCTCTGCCCTTGTTCGGCTTTCTCTCTGTTTAATCGTTGGATGTTATCTTCCTCCTTGATTTCGGGCTTCGTAAAACGCCTCCGAACTGATTTTGGAACAGGCCTGATTTCTGGTCCCGGTTTGTTCGGTTCGGGTTTGGTGTAAGGGGGAGCAGGGATTGATTTTTTTTGCTCGAGGAGCTTTTCATCAGTTTCGTGCGTCTGGACCTTCTTCACAAGCTCCTCGCCTTTGGGTTTTTCGGTTCTAGTAATGGTGTCAACTTGAATGTCCTTGACTGGAGGGACTTGATCGTGCCTTTTTCGAAGCTCGGGGGTTTGATTTTTCTTGGGCAGCCTGTCTTCATTTCTCGTAACTTTATCATTGGATTCCTTCTGCAAAAAGAGTGTAATTTTACCCATCAGGCTCAATGTTTCTTTGTAATGTGGCCAAAAAGAAGAAAGCAAAATGTGAACACAGATAAACTAAGAGCATCTTGAGTGGAAATACTATAGTTTGCTATACCTTATTATATGCAGATTCATTATAGAGCTTATTTTCCAAAGCTTTCGAGTCCCAGTCCAAACCAGACTCAGCAGCTATTTCTTGCAAAAGCTGAAGTTTTGATTCTTTTGAGGGCAGGCAAGACCTCATATTCTCAGAAAACTGTTTAAAATATGCATAATAATCTCAGTTCACTGAGATTGAATTGAACAGTGGGAAAAAAAAAAAAAATACACAGATAGACGATTTTTTTGTTTTTATTTATGTATTTTTGCTCCTATAAATAAAAAAGGAGTGAGCATTATTACCTCTTTATTGATAAAGAGGTCAAGGGAATTCCCATATCTCTCTGAAAATAGAGTTCTAAGCTCACGCAGTTCGGGCATGTCAGCATATCGTGCAGCTGCGAACATCAGAGATGACACGGCTTCTCTGCATTCTTCAGGGCATTCCCTGGCCATACCAAACATTTAATTTTAAGTGAATCTATTTTTCGACTAGGGAAAAAAACCCCAACATTATGTTTGAACAAACTGGCCTAAAAAAAAAGCCGGCAAAATTGTATTTCAGCTGATCAACATCATGTTTGAACTAGAAAATGTGTTTTTACGCGGACATATGTGCTTAAAGAGGTGTTTTATTGCAGGAAAAAAAAAATCACAAGTACAAGAAAACATGTAATTAAAGAATAAAGACACCATATTCTACTAGCTGAATTTAACTGGCTATTAAGGCTTACGTACTTCTGTTTGTCCATAGCCGAAAGATTCTTTGATATATGTTCACAACATTGGTCGACAAACTCGTAACAGCTCGTCAAATTCATCTCAACCAGAAGTCCTTCAGCCTGGTTTAACATTGGAAACAATAACTCTTTAAATAAATCAATTAGGCCATCGGCATCTAAGAAATAATGAATTATGGTCTGCCTAAGAGGATCAAAAGAAAGAGGTAGCAACTAAAACTACTCTTGAAGTTTGGCGAAAGTATTTCTTTTGTTTTCATTTTCCCATTAGAGAACTATGAGCTTTTTTGGGTAATAGCTGAAATTCTGAGAATAGACTAAAAACAGCACATTCTCAAAACTTATAAGCCTCAAGGGTTCAAAGTTGAAAATTCAATAGTTCAGGGGTAAAACGCCACTAAATATGTATTGAGGGATTCAGTGTATAAACTCCATAAATTTTGAAGCAAGAGAAATTTTATCAGCCACACAAAAATATGAAAACATCACATTCAAGTTCCTAAAACGTGTCATATCTGCCAACTTTTCTCTCTAAAAAACTGAGATAACAACATGGCAACACTCTCTGATGAAATGTATGTATCTAACCACAACCCAGAAATCAAAGGACCCAAAAAGAAAATTAAAA